ATTGTGTGGACAGAAGAGGCCAGGAGCTGGGGAGGGAGGCAGGGCTCGGACCAAGCAAGTGGAGGGAGAAAGCAGGATTCAGAAGCAACGTCAGAGTGCCATCATTAGTTCCAGAAGCCCAGCCCTGCCTGACTCCAGGTGGCCTGGGCAGGAGTATGGGATCCAGGAAAGAAGATGTCATCCTTGGAGCAGCTGGCCTCTACCATTGGGAGATGCTGGAACTCAGGACAGGTGGTGGCAACTCCTCTAGGAAGCCTTCCACAGCCTACTCCTCAGGCCCTTTCAGTTCAGCAAACGTTGACTTAAGGCCTCCGCTGCCGCAGCTGTCTCCCCCAGCCACTCTCTCTCCCAGTACTTGACTCCAAGAGTTCTAATATTCTATGTCCATTCCCCTACACCCCACTTCTATCCAGCCTGTGAGCCCCTGAGGACAGGGGCAGGATGGTCCCTTGCTGGATCCCCAGCATTACTGAGCATGGGGCAGGCCCAGAGGAAGTTCTGCTGCTGGGGATGACTAATGTTCCTGCATCCTGTCCTCTCTTCCTTCTCTCTCTTCTGGCATTCCCAAGGACAGCTCTATCCCAACCCCATTTCCAGGAATAATCATGGCTGCTTTCTATAAAATACAGCACTTGACAAATACCATTTTGAAATCCCATGACAGTCCTGGATGATGAGTATTCGTATCATCATTTAACAGGTGAAGAAGTGGAAAGAAAGGTCAAGTGACTCACTTAAGTCACACAGCCAGTACATTAAGTAGCAGTGATGGAACTTAAACCCAGGTGATTCTGATCCCAAAGAGCAGACTCATCCTGTGGTCCAGCTGCCTTTCCTGCTCCCTCCCATCCGTGCCGACCCCACCCTTCATGAACTGGTTCCACATCAACTGTCCTCCACCTCTGATCCTATCCTGTCAGTCTCTGCAGGCAAGTTCTCCACTGTCCACCTGGATTTCTCCTGAACAGACTGCTGGGACAAGCTGAGCTGCCATCTCTTTCAAAGCCTTGACCCATCTGTTCTAAGAACACCAACTATACTCGTTGTCTCTTCTTCCTTCCTGAAGGTTCTGGAGCACTGGCTCTGGACACAGACCAGAATTCCATCCCAGGTCACCTTGGTTAAGCCCCTTTCCCTCTCTAGACCTCATGTCCTCCTGCCACCACACACACACACACCCCAGATGATCCTGAAATATCTCTTTCCTTACTTGGATTCATGATTGCCAAGCCTCTGTTGCTGGACACTGCCAGGCACCAGAACCTGTGTCCCCAAGTTGCCTGGCTCCCAGGAGCAGTACAGTGGGAGGGGCAGTGCTGGCTGCTGGGGAACAGTTAGTTGTTTTGCAAACATGGAAAACAAGAGAAGGCAGGGCTGCTGCTGTGAGCGGATCAGATAAGCACCATACCCCCATCTTCATCCCTCCATACCTCCCCACCAGGCCTATGATAACCAGACTGCTGCAGCCCAGCCCCAGAAAGCTCCCCCTCCAACAGAAGAGGCAGCCCAAACATTTCTGCCTGCCCAGGGCAGAGCTGTCGCCTGGCCCTGACCAGCCCAGTGGCGTGGTTTCTGTATAGGAACGGCTCACTTCCCACCCATCTCCAATCGCTTCCCTGCTGACCTCAGAACGGAGCTGGGAAGCTCTTCACCAGGCAAATATTGAAAGGAACCTATTCCAGGTATACCCTGAGGCTCTGAGGGCAAAGGGATAAATCAGACCTGGTCTTGCTTTCAAAAGGCTCATATTTCAGGGGGAAAGCAGAAAAGTAGACTTTTGTACAAATACAGGACTATGGTAAAACAGGGACCACGGGGTCAGGAGGCCACTGGCCCCATGGAATCAGGACAGCTTCCCAGATGTTGAGAACAAGTCAACCAAATGAAAGGTGAGTGGGAAGAGAGGACAGGTGAGCCGGGAAATGAAACAAAAGGTGCAAAATGGAAGGTCATAAAACAAGAAATGAAACAAAAGGTGCAAAATGGAAGGTCATAAAACAATAAAATAATATGGTCTGGAAGAGAAGGAAGGATTGCAGAGCAGCAGCCAAGAGAACAAGGGAGTGGTGAGAAAGAGGCTGGGTAGACCAGCAGGCTACTTCGGGCAGGCCCCAGGTGTGGCCCTTTCCCTGTGGGATACAGGCCCCCAGTGCCTCAGGAATGGCACTGTCCTGGGAGGCAGGTGGGCTGGTCCTGCCCTACCTGTCATTATGGGCTACGTGGTGCTGGATATGGGATACTCCAGGCATCAGTATCCTTCATGTCACTAAACTCAATCAACATGTTCAGAACTTTGCATGACCACTCAACTGCAAATGGTGAGGACTTGACTCACCACTTCCTCCACCCTGAACACTAGTCTTGAACACTACTTTCTCCCTCCCATCATGGAAGGTCCCTCCATCCTGCTGCTTCTCAAGCCTATAAACCCAAAATCCATAGCCAGTTACCACCCAAGGGCCAAATCTCACCATCTCATCTACCCAGGAACCTCCACACCTGAGTCAGGGAGAAGCACAGAGAGACTTTCAAAAACTGAGGCGCTTCCCTACAGGCCAGATCCCAAGTCCAATCCTGTCTTTGCTTTCCTAGCAATGATTAGAAGCTCCCTGAGGGCAGGGGCAGCTAAGACCAAAGTCTAGCAAGATAAATGAGGCTCACTGCAAAGGAACCAGAGTTACCTGTGAAGGCCTCAATTCCCTTGTTAGCACAGCCTTTTGCATTTGTACTGATTACTTGTTCTCACTTATTATATAACCAACCTATCATTATAGTTGTGTGTATGTCTGTGTTCACTGTCTCTTCTTCTAGAATTTAAGCTCCACAAAATAGGAATCTTTGTTTTGTTCAGTGTTGGGTTCCTAACCCCTGGAATATGGCAAGTGATCAATAAATGCTTTCTGGTCAGGCACAGTGGAACACATCTATAATCCCAGCTACTTAAGAGGCTGTGGCAAGCTTCAATCCAACCTGGATAACTTAGCAAGACCTTGTCTCAAAATAAAAAATAGTTGGGCACAATGGCACATGCCTGTAATCCCAGTGGCTCCGGAGGCTAAGGCAGGAAGATTGCAAGTTCAAAGTCAGCCTCAGCAATTTAGTGAGACCCTAAGCAACTTAGTGAGACCCTGTCTCAAAATAAAAACTTAAAAAAGAGCTGAGGATGTAAATCGGTGGTAAAGTGCCACCGATTTGGTTCAATCCCCAGTACAAAAAAAATAAATATTTAATTAAAAATAAAAAGAGGTGGGGATATAACTCAGAGATATAACGAATATCCCTGAGTTCACTAACCAATGTAAATAAATAAATACATGCTTTTTCAAAATCAAATGAGAGGGGCTATTGTTGCAGCTCAATGGTAGAGCACTTGCCTAGCATGGGTGAGGCACTGAGTTCAATCCTCAGCACCACATGAAAATAAATAAATTAAATAAAAGCATTGTGTCCATCTATAACTTAAAAAAAAAAGCAAATGAGAGAAGGAAGGATGAACATTTAGTTGAATGAGCCCACCTACTGAAGTCTTCAAGGATGGAACAGTCCACATGCAGTGATCTCCTCCAGACTCAGAATCCCTGCCTCCAACCACATACCCATTCGTAAGCCTCCAGGACAGCCCTCCCAGGTGATATGAATGCCACCACAGGGCCTTCACTTGAGGCTTCCAAAGTCTTTGGCCTCTATCCCTGAGACCCCAGTCCTCAAGAGCCAAGAGTAAGAGCTGCAGTTTCCTATCAGTCACCAGGAAACTGGGGCCCTCCCATGGCAACACCTTAATTTGTCCTGAACCTATGCTGGAAGCTACTGCCCCAGCTATGGAAGCTAAGCCAACAGAGGGGCTATCTTCAGAGCTGCCCAGTACTTCCAACATAGGTGTAAGATGCTCCTCTGCTAAACCTAGGCAGGAGGAGAAGAAGGGAAATACTCAGTGGGGAGCCTCCCTCCTCCCCACTAGTCCTGCCCCTGCCTCCCACTTCCTAAGAGGACAGCTGAGTCCTGAAAGCTCCCCCATTTCAGAAGAAGCACTCAAAGTGCAAGCAAAAAGTCCAGCCCCTTTGTAAAACTTTTATTTAGAAATCTTCCCCATATAACCTTATATATGTACACACGTCATCATCACCACATGGGTTTTTTTTTTTTTTTTTTTTTTTTTTTTTTTTTTTTTTTGCTACTCACACACCCACAGTGTTGGCCTCTGGGCTGTACAAAAAGGTCAAGGTACCCGGAGTGGTTACTCCTCTTCTGCAGAAAAATGCAGAGACCAACGAAATTCATCACATACAGTACAACATTGACCAAAAGTGCTGGGCCCGCCCACAGAAACACTGCGCTATGTACACGGGCAGGGGCAAGCCGCGGCAGAGGGTCACGTACCACTGAAATCACAAGTACGGAGAGACCCACCCAAACAGCCAATACAGCTGTGGGCTGACTACAGATGTTGTGCCCTTCGCTTTATTTTTAGAAAAGGATAAAGGTTGTACCATCTTGTCATTTGCCACTACAAATAAAACAGTATGAGTTCTTAACAGATGGGATTCCCTCTAGTTACATTCATCTTTGTTCTCAAAATGTTGACCTTTACATTTTTTTCCTTTTCATACAGATATTATTCTTGGAGTGTGCTATTTCTTCATGGGCAAGAAGGAGGCAAAGAAAAAGAAGGGCCTGGAGAACAGAAGATGGAAATAGAAAACATAGGTCTTCTTTAGTTCTTACAAAGACCTAAAGCCATGCTCTCCCCTGTCCAGGCCTCTGTGGGCAGCCCCATCAGATTTTTACATAGTCTGCCCATGCTCCCAAATCTCTTTTCTGCTCTCACTCCTGTCCCTTTCCTTGGAATGAGACAGAAATTCAGACAATCTGGAGAAATGAAGAGGGTCTGGATAACTCAAGCAAAAGTAAAGTATAATTTAAATGACCTACTTGTTCATGCCCAGGCCTAAACTCAGGCTGGGAACCCCACAGAAGGATTGGTACTGAGGGCAACAGAGATGTTTGTTTTTTTTTTTCCCAGTTCTGGGGATGGAACCCAGGACCCTGAGCATGCTAAGCAAGTGCTCTACCACTGAGCTACACCCCCAGCTGGCAACAGAGCTCTTTGTGGTCTCAAAACTCTTCCAGTTTCACAACTGCATTCGATCCACACAGCTGTCCTAGGAGACAGACCAAGCCAGGGTATTAATGAGAAAGTGACACGTGGGTACCTTATCCCAGTCACACTGCAAGTCTAAGAGAAAGGGGAACTGGAATCTTGAGTTCCCAATAGAATGTGTGAACCATCTCACAAAACCCAATCATTCAACCACACATGACCACTTTTCATTCCCACGTCAAGTTAATCCACGGAGAAGCAAACACAGTCTTAGAGCCCAGGACAGTTGCTCCATTTTTACATGGGTGAGACTCCTCACAGAAACTTCTAAGCATTGGTAAGGAACCAACCCTAATGTTCATCAAAATATGATTTGGGGTGTTTGGAATGACACAGAGAGTCAGAGTGCTTCAATGATTAACCATACTGTTCCCATGCCCAAGAACTGGACCTCACAACTTAAAAGGAAGGGAGGGGAGCCAGGATCATTTTTTTTTTCCTGCATAGGGCCTCATCACAGCACGGGGCAAGCTGCTGGGCTGAAACTCAGAACAGGAAAGGCGATTTCCAACAGCCAGACTGATGGGTTCTTACATGACAGGATATTTTCTCTGACCTCAAAGGCAGAACCTGGTGTTAGAGGGCTGGGGTGACTTAAAGTACAATAACAAATACAGAGGACTTCTGTGCAGTTTGTTTCATGGCCTTAGAAATGTATCACAGGCAGAAAACCATGTCCCACCACCTGGATGGACACAGGGATAAACAAAGGGGCAGTCGTTCACACTACAAAAGGATTCTTCACTTTACAAAAGAACTTGCAGTAGTTATTTCTTTAAAAGATGAAGAATAAGGATTTGATTTACAAAAATGTCATGTACAACTTTTGGAGGGGACACTCGTATTGTATTAAACCAGCCTCCCCTGCACACCTTTAATGACTAAAAGCTGCACAATCACACGGTATTTAAAGTTCTGCTAGATGAATATGCATATGTTTAGCCAGGGCCTGGTGTCTGATTGGATTTCCCATGCCCTAGAAGTCGGGCTGTGTCCTGGGTCATATCCAGACCTAAAGATTTCACCAATAACTGAATCAAGAAAAAAATCTTAAATACAAATAATTCATAGGACAGTTTGTGCTCAATTCATTCAGAAGAAAGACCAGATCATTTAGCAGACATCTTGCAGCAGGGAACACCCTCTAAGCATCTAGGAGAATGTGCATGGGGCTGCACTTCCCCTTTCAGCACCAACAGGTGCCCATCAGCACACTGGCATTTGCTCAAACAGTAACGTGCAGGAGCTGAAGCCCACATGCCCAAAATCTCTTGCTCATTTTCACTCTCATTTTCCCTTTCTCTGCCTTCACACAAGGCCCAACAGGGCATGCTCAAGGCTGTAGACTCCATCTCCACAGCCACAGGATAGGAAGGCAAGTCTCAATGGAGAGAAAGAACTTTGATCCCCAGGGCAAGAAGTAAGGGCTATTGGGTTTCCTGACCCTCTGGCCCAGCTAGTCAGGAGCAGGCTGTTCAATGGCCAACTTCTTCAACCAGGCCATGAAGAAGGCACCTCAAGGCTTGTGACTCTCCGCAGCAGCTGGAAAGCTGGATGGATCAACATGGGCCTGGGTGAAGACAGGGCTCAAAAAATGGGCAGCCATTGGGTACCTATATATTTGGACAGAAGCAGCCACAAAAGCCATCCAGCCAGCTTGGGAGGGGCTAATGGCAAGGCAGAGACTGCTGGATACCCCAGATGACACAGCAGACAACTTCAGGTGTCAACCAAGACAGGGCTCCAAACTCCAGGCCAAAAGCAGTGACACTTGAGCCTCTCTCTTAGGAAGTCTTAGGGTTTCGGGGAGGGGGAAGACCGTGCCATCTTCGGAAAAAAAGTACCTACCACTTTGCTCCATTTTCCTGTTCTACTGAGGCAGGGAACAAAAAAGCCAGCCTTGGGGCTTCCCAAAGTTCAGAGCGCAAGGGGATTTCATAAAGTCCATTGCCCTGTTTCTCATCCCACTTGCCCTAAAGCCCACCATCCCAGTGGCCTAGGGGTCCTCTCCCGGCTGGTCCTGGGTGGCCCCAGACCCATCACCGGGGGCCGGCCCCATCACTGGCGGGCAGCAGGGCAGAATGGAGGCTGCGGGCCGTGTGCTTGGGTGCCGGCTCCTCCGTATAGCTGTCCGGGCTGGCTGCCCCGTCCAGGGAGCTGCCGCAGCTGGAGTTAGGAGAAAGCACGTCCTGCAGAAGGTCATCTGGAGGAGCACCAACCCCTGTCCCACCCCCGCCTCCGCCCGCCCCAACGACGGGGTCCTTGCCAGGCTTGGCCCGCTGGGTGCCCTCCTCCTCCTGGTCATTAAGCAGCTTGGCCAGGAAGTTGATGTACTTCATAGCCAGGCGGAGGATCTCATTCTTGCTGAGCTTCTTGTCCGGGGGATGCGTGGGGATCAGCTTGCGGAGCTCAGCAAATGCCCCATTCACGTTCTGCTGCCGCCATCGCTCCCGGCTGTTGGTGAATATCCGCCGCACTACTTTGGTGTGGGGACCTGGAGGGTAGGAGGACAACGCGTTAGGAGAACAAGCTGAGATTCCTCCCAAAGGGCTCTCCATTTACTGGAAGGCTTGAGAGACCCAGAACACTTTGTTGTTGCTGTTACTCAGGAGACTCGTTCCAAGTTCAGGTCCTGTCACCTCCTCTGAGATCTTCCTTCAACCCTCCAGACCCATCTAACCAACCCCTATGACCCTATTGCTCTTTTGTCCCCATCACTCTTGATTGTTATATATATGTTTCTGGGCTTGGCTCCCTCTCTGGGCTGTGCAGAATTTGAGGACAGGAACCATACATCATTCAGTCTCACTTGTGCCAAGACCATGATGTAGCAAGACAGACTAGAGCCAGAACCTTTAGGTTCAATTCCTGAATTGAACCTAGACAAGTCCCTCTGGGCAAGGCCCTTAAACTCTCTGTGCCTTAGCTTCTTCATCCATAAAATGGAGAGAATACTGGTAAGAAAATTCATAAGATCATTACATGGGTCTGATGCCTCACACAGGCAATGTACTTAACACAATGCCTGTCTCAGTTTAAACATTCACACTGTTAGTTATTGCTAGCCGTTCATCAATTTTTTACTAACAACCCAGGTACTGTGCTAGGCACGAAGGAATAATGGTGAACAAATATACTCCTGCCCTCGTGTAGCTTACATTTAGAGGGTATGAGAGGCAATGAAAAAGTAGTTAAAAAGAAAAGTAGGGGGTCAAGTGATAAGTAAAAGACAAAAAGAGCTAGTACTCTTTGCTAAGGTAGGGGGCGAAGGTCTCCTGAGGTGATGACATTTATAAGGTAAAAAACTTAAGGCTGAAACAAAGCCAGCCAGGCATAGGCATGGAAAGGAAGAAGAGTGCCCACGCAGAGGGGATATCAAGTTCATAGTCCCCGAAGTGGGAAAGGGCTGAAGCTAGAATGGCTGGAATAGTGGGCACAGGGTCGGAGTAGGCAGGACCCCGTGGTAAAATGTAAGAGGATTTTATTTTAGGAGTGATGGAAAGCACAGAGTAGGGGCTTTAGTACATGTTTCCTGAGTGACTAAGCATTGAGATATCAGGGGGCTGGGGGATGAAAGTAGAGCAGAGACCAGAAAGGAAAGGAATTAACCTGTGGGCTTCTTCCCCGAGAAGAGGTGAGGAGAGACAGCCATGCACAGTCATGGTCTTAGGCTTCAGACAGGCTTTAAAGGACTGCCTCCGTCTCCCTGTCTACAATGCACTGCTTAAAGCTTAACCCAAGAGTCATTAGCATCCTGGTACCAAGGCTTGCAGAGCAGAAGCAGCCACAGGGCACATATGGAACACTTACAATATGCAAAGCACTGTGCTCCATATTCAAGTCTGCCTTGTGTTAGGCAGTCCCAGTTTCAATGGAGGGGGCTTACTGTCCCTGAAATCCCTCCACAATTTTCCTGACCAGCAAAGGAAGGGAGGGGAGGGGTGAGCCCTCACATGTCCTCAGCACTTGCTCTGAACCAGGCCCTAAAAACACTTTTCTCCATCACACTCTCTGAATAATCTGGAAGGCAACTATTATTCACTCCATTTACAAGGAACTGTGGCTCAGAAACATACAGAATAAGAATCCACAAGTCCTGACTCTAGAGCTTATACTGGTTCCACTTCTATGGACTCTTGGTTCAGTCTCTGATTTCTACATGTCCTACACTCCCACACCCCACACCCTCCCCTTCACCTACATGTCTAACTACTCCTTCCCTGAGACATACACACACAAATATATATATATATATATATATATATATATATACACACACTTCCTGTTTCCTTAGTCTGTCCATCCTTCTAGCATCTTCTGTCTCTCTCTGGCCTGACACTGAGTAGGTGCTTAGTATACACTGGTAACGTTCATGGATAATGACTTTCCTACACGCCTGCAGTTCCCTAAAAACCCTCTCACCTGGTTCTTCTGCCTCTTCCCTGAGGAACTTCAGAGTTGGTCTTGCTACTTCCTATTTGGTACCCCCAGTTCTCCCAGGCTGGAGAACCCTCTCTAATCCAGCAGCGCCCCATCACCCTTCCCTCTTGGTCCCACATGCCCTTGACCCAGGAAGGCTTGGACTTCTGAGGTTCTGGCCCCCTCCTCTCCAGAACCCCACAGAGTGCTCTACCCATGAAGCTCAAGTGCTCTACACACACACACACACACACACACACACACCATCTGCCAGCTCCCAGCATAAGTCCCAGGTCTCCTGAGGCCCTAGTGCCCTTCTCCCAGGAGCCCCAGCCAGGCTGAAGCCTTGCAAACTCCAGTGACTTGCTCAAAGTCCCTAAGCTCTGAAGAGGCCACTCTTCTACCCTGGTGCTGGGATCCAGTTACATCAGGTCAACCTTGGAAGGAGGAAAAAGGTCCTCCAAATCTACCACTCAAGTTTAGGGCCAAAGAATACTCAGGTAGTTCACAGAAGTGTTGAGGCCTCTCTGGACCAGAGTAGAATCCGTGATGGCAGGGTCTCAGCCCAGAATGTGGAACAAGAGATAGATAGTGATGGGACACAATGTAGGGACTTGGCAGCAGGCCCTTGAAGGTGCAATTTCAGGCAGGAGCAGACTCCAGACTCCACAGAGGCATTGAGGGAAGGGGCAGGGGCTCCCTGAGAGGTCAGGAGTTATAGCAGATTCTTCCTGCCCTCCCCAGGATCCTTCCCAGAGGTAGGAATGGAGCCTGGAGTGGGGTCTAGAACTGACTCTGTAGCTTTGGGATGAGCACCACAGTAAGTCCCTCTCCTATAAGCCCTCTTTCTAGGACTATGAGTGGGACCCTCCCAGCTTTACCCATGGCTTCACTCCAACTCTGTTCCAGGGAAAAGGGCTTTGCTGGTTCGGGGTTCCAAGGTGGCTTGTCCCACCTATGTGGGACACCTATATAGTCCCAGGGTTTCCTCCTCCACAGGTCGAGCAAGAGGGGTGGTTATGGAGGTGGGGGCAGGGGAGACTCACCATCTGTAATCTCCATCTCGTAGGGAGAGGGTCTCCTCTTCACTCGATTGTTGGTGGTGAACATGGGGAAGGCATCAGGCTCCCCAAAGAACCCACTGTGGAGGAAGCAAGCAGATTACAAACAAGATCACACATTGTGTGGATGAGAGAAAAAGGCTCCTTAGGGATTTTCCCCACCTGTCCTGGAGCTCCTTTCACACTTGAATTTGATAGAAGATGAATCACACACACAAGCACACAGAGGTAAATTCACAGAGCAAACACGAAAAATGAACGCACAACACACACCAAGGAAATATACTCTCCTCTCCTAGAAAGCACACAAACCACACAGACGCTCCCAAACAGGTGCCTACACAGGCAGTTGTGGCCTTCACAGTTGATGATATGCAACTCCAGCACCACAAAGAGGCATGCTGTCCCCTCCCACCAAACTCACCCCACCTTCACTCGTGCTCCCTCCTCCGACCGACCCTCCGATGATGCTCAACCACGCACAGGAAACCCTGACTCATCGCCTCCAACAAGCTCCCCGACCGGTGGCTCTCCCCCATCACCCACTCGCGGTTCTCTCCTAGCTGCCTGCCCTGCACTCTACCCCGCCTCCTCTTCCCCTCCCCATCCCGACCCTGCATCCTCCGTGCAACATCACAGTAACCCAGCAGGGAAGGCTGTTCCCTTACACCCACTGTACAGACCCAGCCAGCGGGGAGAGGGGCCAGGGTGGACTCCAGCAAGGACTCATAAAAGGGTACCCTCTACAACCACTCCATATCCTTCTCTCTTACCTGTCCACCTAGGGCTACACCTTCCAGAATTTCATAACTTAAAAGCAAACACCTCCTCTCTCACACAGGAGCTCATCCAGCACATCTGCCAGGGACTCACACACAGAGGACACCCCCCTATCCACCCCACCACCACCCAGCACACAATTAAGTCACTCTCACACAGCCTCAAGCCTGCACCCTCGAATGCGCGCACTCCTCCCCTCGGCTTCCACACACCCGCACGCCGCAGGTCACGTCTGTCTCCACAGTCACTCAGGCTCCCGAGCTCCTTTCCCACTTTCGCACACCGGCTCCAGCTTCTGGCTCCTACGCCCAGAGGTTTCCAACCACACGCTCCCTTCCCGCGATCCACAGGCAGGAGAGGGGTCCCTCCCACGTGCCGAAGGGGAGCCTGGCTGCGCGGCCGCTCTCCCCGCCCTCCCGCGGGCTGCTCACCTGCCGAGCGAAGCCAGCGGCTGGCTGAGGCTGTAGAGCAGAGCGCGGCCGGGGCCGCCCGGGGCCGCCAGCGCGGGCGGGCTCAGCTGCACCATGCGGCCGTCGCCTGGCAGCTCCGCTGGGGCCGAGGTGGGCGCGGGGGCCGGGGCGGGACCGGGAGGTCTGCACAGCTCGGTGGTGGGCACCCGATGGCGCGCTTCGGCCGCCGCCGCGTCTCGACCCTTTAAGTCTCTCGTGGCGCCGCCCCCACCGGCAGGGCCGCCCCCCGGGCCACCGCGAGCACCCAGATCGATGACCGGGGGCTCGGCTGGGGCCGCGCGGCTGGTCTCCTTGGTGACGCCGTTCAGCAGGACCAGGTGCGGGGGGGCCATGCGGGCCTCGGCCGCTTCCCGTCCCTCTAGCGGGGGGTCACTGCGTGCCGCCTCGCTCGGCGGCCGCTCGGTCATCCTGCGGGCAGACAGACAGACAAGCGGACGCCCGCTCTGACAACAGCCCCCGGCCCGGCCGCAGAGGGCTGAGAGGCAGAGAGAGGAACTCGCGCACTGAGACCTGAGAAGCAAACTTAGCGCCAAGAGGACACGCACCCCAGTCCTCAGCCCTGGGGACCTGAAGTCCAGGCGCGCCTCCGGCCCAAGGAGAAGGGTTTCTCCGGACTGGGAGGAGGGGGAGTGTCTGGGAGGCACAAAGACTGTGGGCCAAAAGGACAGAAATGGAGAAAGACGGCAGATACATTGGAAGAAAAGGAATACAGACGGCAAAGAAAACCGAAGGGAATAAAAGGAGGAAGGAAATGTACAAAGAGGAGTGAAAGAGCACCCCGTGCCCCTTCTCAAGCCGCAAGGGAAGAGGAGGGAACAAATCCCCGACCCGTGTTCTTCCCGCCCCACTTTTGGTTTTGGCGGGGAATCTGTCATGCAGGGTTGGGGTGCTTTTGGAGTAATCCTTCACCTCTCAGCAACACCCTCCCTCAGTGTGTGGAAGGACACACACACACACACACACACACACACACACACTTCACACGTACACCCAGAAACCTGGTACAGGTGGAAGTAGGGAATGAAAGCTACAGGGACTGGGGTTCTCTCCTACAATGCTAGTTTAAAAAAAAATAAAAATCCAAAGATGTCTTTTCCACTGCCCACCCACTCTCTCTCTCTCTCTCTCTCTCTCTCTCTCTCTCTCTCTCTCTCTCTCCTGGCTGTACTAAGAAAATCCACCTTGCATTCAGTGCACTACTGTGTTGCTCCTACCCAGATACAGAGAAGAGAGGTCACCAAGAGACAAAGATGGTGCTGGGATTAAGATGATTCTGGCATTACAGCCCTGTATGCTTCATCCTATTCAGTTCAGTGAGACTCAGCAGTAAGGTCAGGTCTGTAAGGGAAGACTGGCTGAGACCGCATGAAGCCCAGAGATTTAAAGAGTGCTCCTGAGGCCTTTAGGGTCTGGGTTCCCCTCCAAAATCAGGATGAGAGGGCTGGGGCTGGGGCTAAGTGGTAGAGCACTTGGTTCACAGGTGTGAGACCCTGGGTTCATCCTCAGAACCATATAAAAATAAATAAATAAAGATATTGTGCCCATCTACAACTAAAAAAAAAATTTTTTTTAAATCCGGTTGAGATATCAAGACAGCCTTTGAATGCTTCCAGTCCCCACTCCATCTTGGTGTTCCTGAGAAATAGAACTCTGATTTCACTTTGTGTTTCTCTCCCGTATATACACTGGAGCCCAGAAACCCCCTCTATTCTGCATAACCACACTCCAAGATTACCACAGCCACTCTATTTCCCGTGAATATGCTAAGATCTTTCATCACCCAGCTTCACCCAGATAGAAACAGACCCCAACAAGAACCTAAACAAAAAAAAAACCATGAGACTCAGAATCCAGAGTTTGGGCATGTTTGTGCATTGTTTTAATAAAACTATATTCAACGGACTTAATAAATTGTCTAAAATAGGTTTTCTGCTCTCAGAATTATGTAATTGGGGTATTTTAAAGCAGAACAGAAATATATCAAAATCCAATTCAGCTCAAAGTCCATCTAATATTTGTGGTAGCCATCAAACTCCTCCATTCTGCCATTGCAATATTCTGGACAGAGTCATCTGGGAACCATTCCTCCCACCCTAGAAGGGAGACTGAAACTTCCTACAGAATTCAGCTTAATTACCACCACACACACTAGCTGGCAGAGAACTGAGATTCAGACTGCATGCCTGTGCTGGGTCTGCCAGTCCCCCACTTAGCCTGGAAATGACAAAATTCCCCAAGATTTTGTGTACACAAGCAGCAATGGCAGTGCATCTGCAATGCTTCATTGAAAGTGAACTTTTGATTACAATGGAAATAAAGGTTTGTATCCACAGAATGCCACAACCGAGACACACTCAGGCCACTGGAAATGAACCAAAAGCAAAAAAACAGGCATCCTAGCTTCCCTACCCCACCCCTGCTGAAGTACAGAAATATAGTCCTTGGTGAAATATACAAGCCCAGAGGTGCTAGCTCCCTACTTCAAAGTCACCACCATCAGTGTATACCCTATGTGCTTCTGAATGACATATAGTGTGCACTCCAATCACTAATTGAGCTCAAACTCTCTTATGACACATGTATACTCTGATTAATTCTGCCCTGAAGCAGTAGAAGCAAGTTCCTGAGAGGCAAAAGGAGCAAATATTCCAGATGAGTTGACCCTGGCCCTAGAGGTCCTCTCCAGATGCCTATAAATATCCATATATCCAAATTTTCCTGTGAGTGACATAGATTGGCCTCTCCTTGCCCCCTCTCCTGGACCTCAGAAAAACCCAGCTAGCTCTTCTGAGCCCAGGATCACCCCAGCCAGGGGTCCATACCCAGAAGAAAGCCACCAGATGACACAAACGCCTATAGTCATTGAGGACAAAACTGCATCACTTGGCTTCAGTTAAAATTACTGAAAGGAAAGCCTGAGTGATTTTTATTTGGAGAGGATGCAGAAATAGGGAGGGTTAGGACTGAATGGCACTAGACTATTCTACCATTACAATTCTTCTCTTTGTGCAGTAGAAATACAGCTTGCAGCCCTTAACACCACAGTTGCCAAACAGCAGGGCCTTTCAGTGTGTGCCTGAACAAGGAGATACCCCATCTCCAGCAGATCCCAACCCTCCATTCCCTGGCATGGAGACTTTCTTAGATTAAAAAAAAAAGGGGGGGGGGGGCCGGGGCTAGAGCCACTATCATACACTGGCCTCCAATCCCTCCTACTGCATCGGCACCAGCAGGACACTCTGGAGGAGCCCAAAGTCCACATCAGATCCAAATCCACCAGTATCTGCTGCTACCAAGTGGAGGGGTGTTCAGCACTATAGGCCCTAGGCCTCAGGCCCTGTGTCAAGGCTCACCAGAGCAGCCAGGATGGCTTGGGCCTTCTTCCTGCAGGAGCTCCAGGCATAGTCTAAACCACCCGGATATAGCCTCTACAAAGTCACCGGCCTTGTGAAATGTCCACAGAACCCAGAAGGATGAGAGCTGCCAGGAGGACTTATTCCACCAGCTGGTTTTACTGGAGACCGGAAAAAGGGAAGGGCCCTGCTGGATGCCAGAGGCAGCTGAATTTCCCAACCTTGTGTTGGTCCTGTCCAGTCCCAATCTAAGACTGGGATCTTCTCTTCCTGAGCTTTCCCCCCCCTCAAGCAGGAATCCCAAGGCCTTCCTGGATACTCTTTCCTCTAACACTCACCCTCGCCCCACCTCACCCCCCAAAAACTCACCTGGGGCATATTTAGAGAGACTGGCCCCTCTGAACAGGACCTTCACTCCTCCGCAGGAGGAGAGGGGTCAAGGTTGTGGCCAGGGGTCTTTGCTTTCCCCCTCTCTCGCAGAAAGACTAGCAGTTAGTTGGACTGCGGCGTGGTCCTGGCCGGTCTGCCGCGCCCAAAGCGAGTTTCCAGGAACGATGGGGGTGGAGAGAAAAAGGGAGGGCGAGAGAGAAATGGGGGTCAATGGCTGGGAGTTACCTCATGTCCCCCACCAACCAGCCCATAGAATCACGAACTGCTTTCCGCCCCCAACCTGCAGGTGTTTGGAGCCTCCCCCACTCCCCTTAAAAATGAACACTACGCCTAACCAATCAGGAATAACTATTTAGTCCAACAACAACAACCCCTCCCGGCAGGCTGCCCAGAACATTTTCATACCCTCCAAACGGGATCGAACTGGTTCGGTATGGTCAAATTTGTTTTCTAAGCATGGACGTGTCTACGCAGTTTACTCTGCAACCGGAGCCAGGCCCTGGCCACAGCGCATAAGGGTCTCCCTGGCCAGACGTGGATGGGTGGGGGGTATGTGTCCGGGAAGGTGAATAGTCAGTCTCTCCAGGCCCTGATCTGTGGGGCAGAACACCAAGTCCAACCCCCTCCTCCAGGAACTCTCCTGACCCCGATCTACCCACCTCCAGCCCAAAGCGAAACCAGAACCAGATTCCAAGGGCTCTACTTCCCTTAAGGAATGGAGTCCGAATTGGGGGTGGGTAGGTGTCTGATAAATTCAGGTCCTTTTTTCCCCCTCCCTTCTAACAGAAAGAATAAAAGAAAGAACTAAAGTAAGTAAGTAAGTTAGGGTAAGTAAAGAGAGTAAGGGAGAGAGAGGGGGTAAATTCTTCACCTTTCCCTCCACCAGCCCTACAAAATGGTTTTTGATTTTTCGGGGTTTAGACAGGCAGAATAGGGGGAATTCTAGTAATTTGTTGCAGTAATAAATAAGGCAAAAGGGAAGGAGGGTTAAAAACCAACCGGATACTGCTTCCAAGGGTGTAGCCAGATTTAGTTTGCTTTTATTTTTCCCCCTGTGGGTTTTGTTTAATTTGTTTTGCCTAAATTGTCCAGTTTATGATCACATCGAAGTCTTGGATTAATTGCAAAGGCTTCCTTCCTTTTGCCGCGCTCTGGTGGAAATACAGGAATAATTCTTCCTCGAATTTTGATCCAATGCGGGCGATTTTCTTTCTCCTCTCCTAATCCAAATGGAGAAAGAAAGAAAAAGGGGAACCCACCCATCCCCGGTGTGTTATTTCGGGGTTGTGTTTGCTTTATGACTGAATCTCTGTCTGACCCCTCCATTTTCTCTCCCTACCCCAAACCCAACAACTTGAAAACAAAACTGGAGGGCGGGGGGGTAACAGGACTGCGCTGCTTTGTTCTCCTTCCAAAGAAGCTAAAGGGACTTGCTGCCGCGCTTTGGGACGATTATTTTTAATTAAAATAGGATGCTAATGATGATGATCATAATGATGATGACATTGGCAATCACAACAACTGGCAAAACAAAATCCTTTCTTCTCCAGCCAGGGCAGCACTGACCCCGTTCTTCCAAGAAGCCCGAATGAATTTGGCTGTGGTCACCCATGCGACAGGCATCTGACCCTCACGGCAATGTCGCTTATGAAGAAAAGGGTAGGAAAATGTCCCCCGGAGGTGATCCCGAGGGCCCCCACCCGTGGCGCGAGGCCTTGGGAAAATGCATCCATTGTCCTTACCGGGCCTCCCTCCTAGACCACCGCTGCCGGCCGCACCCGCGAAACTGACCAGAAATGGGAGAAGCCGGAGTGCGGCGCGAACCCAAGCCGGCGGCTACCGGCTTGAAGGCGCGGGCCTCTGCAAGCGCTGCTCAGCTTCGAGCTTGGAAGAGCCTCCCACTCACCAACGAACCCTTCAAACACCGAGGCGCAGATTGACCTCCGGACAGAGCAGCAGCCGACTGGGCTCTGTCCGCCCATCCAAGCCAACACTGGCTCCCGAATACATCATAATTTGGAATAAAAAGTGAAATCCCGCTCCCCGCCCCCATGCCGACGTCCCCACTAGCGCCTGGATCTCTCGCTCACCCTCCCCCACTCCCGCCCCCAGCGATTTGCAAATGCACCTCTATAGGACACAGGCATACACGCACACAGCTCGGTGTGGACAGGGCCACACAAGGTCCAGCCTCATAGGAGGGAAGCAAATGAACACAACCAAACACTGCCCCACAAGCCGACATGGTCAGACCCGCACGCTTCCCAACATGACACAACGAAATCAGTTAAACACAGTCACTCACGGACACACAACCCGACACAGGATCACACAGGAGCGACCTAACAACGAAGCCACCCAAACACAATCGCCAAGACCACACAAACCCAACATGCAGAACCCGACCCCAGTTGAGAAAGGAAACGGGCGTAATTACACACACAACGAATAAACGGCAGTAGGGCCTCGAGGGGTCCAAATCTACACACCCAAACAGTGCAGGCACCATTGAACGGGGACACGCAACCTATCGCCCAAAAGACCACATTCGGAAACAGCCAACATCGCCCACAGCTCACACACTCGCACTCTCACAATCCCACCGCATGCACACAACCACGAAGAAGAAATGAAAACCAACCACCGCCTCGCGCATATCTGTATATTGCGTAAGGAAAAAGGGGAAGGAAGGAAGAGAGTCTCAGAGGCGGGAGGGGGACGGCGAGGGCGGGGGTGTCCGTGGAAAATGCCCCCCGTCTAAAGAAACCGAAGGAAAGGGAGCGCAGGCATCTTCTGCGGGTGTGGGGAGCGAGGGGAGGAAACTGACGAGGAATTCCGTGGGAGGCGGGAGGTCGCTTCTCCCCAACAAAAAGGCCAGAATGCTCACGTTTTTCCGTACGGGGGGACGCGTGTGGCCATTTTGAGGCCTGCTCCTTGGCTATGGAGGCCCGGCCCCTCCGCAGTCCGCTCCCCCGCCCGCCAGCGCCCGGCTCCTGCCCCACCGCGCTCTAATCCCGCTCACGTTCCAGGCCTCGTTAGCATGGGCCGAGGCGCGCCGGGGCTGTGTGCGCCGCGGAGATAAGGCACTGCCGCGGGTCCGCCCGCCCCCGATAAGCGCCTCGGCCATTATGGGCCAAATGATTCATTTTAATTTGGCAATTTCACCGGAGGGAGTGGGGACTGGTTGCGCGGCGCTGGGACCGGCTCCGGAATGCGCCACCGAGAGAACTGAGCGCGCTGTCTACGACCGGGCGGGTTCAGCCCCATTTCTCATCCCCGGGACCTCTCACGAATCCTGGCTCCCTACAACCTCACTCATTCCTTCGGCCTTCCAGATACCTTTCTTCAGCGACTCTTATCCCAACACTCTGTGCCTCTGAAGACCACCAAGACCTCCCAAACCATCACCTCCTGACTCTTCTCCCTTCATTTTTTCTCCAGTGTCCAAGACACCCGGATTTCAGTGGACAGTTCCTCTTATCTCAGAAAGCCCCCCAACTCCTCTCTGGCCTTCCACCCCTTTCTGCTCTAAAATGGAGCCAGTAGCACAAACTCAAGGGGCCTCTAAGAGGGTTGGAGTGACTGATGTCAATAGGGAATTAAAATATTCATTCTGCTTGATTTCAGGCTTAGCCCAGTGCCCACAATCACCACTCCCCCATAATATTTTTAACAAACACTTTAACCTAAGTACTAAGTACTCTACAAATATTTTTAATTTTCATAACCAGTCCTGAGGAGTGGGTGCTTTTGTTATTCTCAGTTTACAGATGAGGAAACCGAGGCACAGAGTAAAATCTAATGTTTCCCAATGTTACATTTCTAGTGAGTGGTGGAGCCTGGGTTTGAAGGAAATTTGGCCCCGGAGTCTCAGCTAAAATGGGGCTTTAAGAACTTAGTTTGGGCTGGGCATGGTGTTGCATGCCTGTAATCCCAGCAGTTCCAGAGGCTGAGGCAGGAGGATCAAAGCCAGCCTCAGCAATAGCAGGCACTAAGCAACTCAGTGAGACCCTGTCTCTAAATAAAATACAAAATAGGGCTGGGAATGTGGCTCAGTGGTGGAGTACTCCAGACAAGATCTATAATGTATAGCAGGAAGTGGAGTACAGTGCCAACTGGGTAACTGGGGCTCAACCTATGGAGAATATATGAATTTATTCTTTCATGTCGGAGTGGAAGGAGTACAGGCTCAAATTTTAGCCATTTAGCTCCAAACCTCATTTTCTTCCTCCGTAAAACAGGGAGATAACTTTTACCTCACGAAGTTGTGAGAATAAATACAATGACCTTTAAAAGGTGGCAGTGGTGGGTGATAAGTCTATATACTTCAACCAACCCACAGCCCATGAAAACATCGTATGCACTTGCATAGGAGATCTGGATACCATCATGGAGAAGAAAAATAAGGCAAAAAGAGATGTGAATTGGCCCAAACTTAGTGACCCAGAAGAAAAGCCAACAACCAAGCTCTTTGTCCAATTTTTCTCATCGTGCCAGGCTGCTTGTCTCTCTTCTGTCTCCAGTTTGGGCTCTTTTTGGAGTGTGAGAACTGGGAAAAGCTCCTCATCTGTCCAGTCATAGGTTGAGTTCCAGTCAAGGACTGATCCCCAATTGTACCCCTCTCTGAGTTCTGGCCCCTCCAAGGTCATGTGGATGACTCCCTGAGAAGGTGTGGTTACTTCAGTGCAGCCTGTCTCCTCTTCCTGTGTTCTCTGATGAAAGTCAGCTGCTGTGTGGATAAAGGGAACTTTCACAGAACCCCACAGTGGAAGGCCACCTGTGACCCGAGAAAGTCTAAACACCCCCCCACACACACACACACACACCTTTCCTGTCTGTGACACTTAATAGAGTGAGTTAGAAACCCAGATCTGTCATTCTTGGGCTGTGGGACTCTTGGGTAAGTCATTTCATGTATGCAAGCCCCTGCAAAAAAGAGATTTGCCAATCCCATATCGGAGAGTCCAGCTGGGGACTGCTTCCAGAAAATGAGGCCTGGGCCAAGGGCTGAAGCAAAAGGACCATAAGTTCATGAAAGGAACAGAAAAGAATTCAGTAGGAATGGAGCAAGCCTATGGAAAATTCAAGGATTGTTTGGAACCTTTTGTCCAGTGTCCAGTGTCCTATATAGGATCACATTTGCTTTTCTAGAAGACTGTTTGGCTGCAGCGTGGAGTTGGGATGGGAAGGATTCTGGAAGACCAGTTCTGGGGCCAGTGTAGTGGTCTGGGGAGGGAGAATTAGAGCTTGTTCTAGGTGCTGGCAGAAGATGGCATTTATGTAGGATGTAAAACTGGGTTTGAAGGAATTGGGCTTGGCAGGCAAGAAGGAGGAAGGAATCCAGGAATGTGGCTGTCATATTGGAGATAGGTGAGTCCTCCTTGAGAGGTGGGGAGAGTTCTGGAGACCAGAGAGCAGGGGGTGGGATTCTGCTTTTTGTTTTGAACTCCCTGAGTTTAGATGCCTTTGAGGCACCTGCAGACTGTCGGGTTATTTTACAGGGCATGCAAGAACCCTGCCCTACACCTTCAAGAGCTGTCTTGAAGAAGTGGGGACAGGTGGAAAGGCTGGTCAACCCTACCGCAGAGGGTGTGTCCAGGGGTCTGTCTCCAGGGCTGGGAGCGGGGCGTTCGCCATCCCCCTCCTCCACACAAACGCGCTCTCCTCTATCAGACTGCCAGCTGTCCCTAACCAAGTCCCCAAGCCCCCACCTGGGGCTGCCTGGGGCTGGGGGCTCGTGATGTCTACACCCCTCCCCTCCCCAGTTTCCGACAGTGGGTGGAAAAACGGAAACTGAGCGCTTAGCCAGGCGCCGCCCGAAATAGCATCTGGTGCCTGTCGGTCAGCTAGTTGTCCGAGCGTCCATGAGAGGGTGACGCTGCCCTCGGCCTGGCCAGGAAATGCCACCCCTCCTCCACCCGCCACATTCAGGGGCCTCAGACGGGCAGGAAACCCGGAGCGCCTGGGTGGGGGTAGTGACGGTGGGGAGAGAGGTTTGGGACCCGCACTGGTAAGTCTGAAGTCTGGTCCTGGAGTTAAGACCCAGCGAGCGGGCAGAGCACTTAATCAGGCTTTTAAATGAGGCCATTCCCTCACCACCGACGAAGCCAAGGTTCCCTCCACCCGAGGCTCTTATAGTTTTTCAAGTGTTTCTGCCTACCCTGTCACTGGGTACTGGACTCTCTCTGAACTTTCTCCGCTCAGTGTGTGCAGTCTGATGGCCGATAAGGTTAAATAAACCAAAATTTTACATTGCCTTTCTATGTGCCAGGTACTGCTCCTAAGCACATCAGAGTTTCATTTCAGTTAATCGTGACAGCAACCCAATGAGTTAAGGACTCCTAGGACCTCCATTTTGTAGTAGCACAGAGAGGCTGAGCATCTTGCAGAGAATGCCCAGCTAGTAAGTAGTGGAGGAGAATTCATATCTGGGTTAGTCTTGCTTCAGCCGTGGTGCTTCCAAGGCAGCAATCCAATAGGCAGGCCCACCTGAGCTTCTGTCCTTCTCCCCACTGGCCAGCTGTAGGATTCAAAGCAAGTTAATCTGAGTTTCACTTTCCTTGTCTGTAGAAGGGAGGTGATAATTGTCCACACAGCATTCTGGGGTTTATAAGGATTATTGTTAATGGTGAAAACTTCAATCTAAGGAGATGTCATTATTTCTTCCTTTCACTTGCATGTGACCGTTCTCTCCATTTTTGTTCTCTTACCCAGGAAGAACCCTTACCCTACCAGTTAGCAGGCCTGAACCCAGAATTCCAAGCATGAGAGTCATCTTTCTACTTCCAAATCCCAGCCGGGCCACCAGAAGTTTCAGGGATGGAAAGACCTTATTCTAATTCCTGATTATCAAGGAGGACAGTCAGAATGCTCTTTATCTTGTTAGAAAAGTCAGTTCATGGACCCTACTCCAGGCCTATTAAATCAGAGACTATGAGAAAGAAGCCAGCAATCCAATTTTTATTTGTTTGTTTGTTTAGTACCAGGGATTGAACCCAGGGACTTAACCACTGAGTTACATCCCCAGTCCCCCTACACTTTAATTTCGAGACAGGATCTCACTAAACT